GAAACAATAGAATCGCTATAAGGTCTTCCGTTAAGACGGAAGACCTTAAAAATGCCACGTGTAGAGAATACGTCTACCTGTGACATCATAGTTGCTAAAACGCAACAATGAGTGTAACGCAGTAAGTAAGAAAAATAAATTAAAGGGGAGGAGAAGAAAGATCGCAACCAAAGTCATGAAAGGTATTGTACGATATCTGACCTAACTGTTCCAGCACTATTGATAAAATTGCTATTGTTTTAAAAATCTTTATTATATTTTTTTTTATAGATGTAACATGTTCATCATTTCTGAATTAAATGCTGACTTTCTTTCTTGAGTATAACAACAGAAAAAGAGAAGGTGTCGTATTCTTAAACTTTCCGTGATTTTCTAATTTACAAAATCTTTGCCTTTATCACTTCTATTTTACCCGATTTTAAAATTGGCTGCCAGCACCTTCCCCCTTTCCAAAACTAAAATCAAAAAGCAATTAAAGGATTTATATTTAAAACCGCATATATATTATCATAATACATAAATGTGCAACATTTTGCTGTGACGTCATAGTTACTAAAACGCAACAATTAGCGTGACGTAATAGTCATCACTATAACAAAATTCGGAAAGTAACTACAAAAAACCGAGGTAAATTCCCACAGATTCTTGACTCAGTTTGTTTAGACTATATATAATTCTTGCATGATTTTATTTTTAAGGTTTAAGTAATTATGAAAATGTCTTTTGATTTGTAGAATAAAAACCATGGACTACAATGCCATTCTAGACTTTGGGGAGAATCCTGTCACAGATGTGGTAAGCTCGGTTCCATGTTATTCATGCAAATGCTGTATAATCACACAGTTATAGCCTTTATATCATTCAGTAATAGAAATCTATTATATTAGCAATGCATATGTATATAGTGTAGCAGAATAATTTTTATTATTATACCTCTGTGAATTTGTTCAATATAAAAACATGACGAATAAACATGCTATCTTTTTCAAACAGCCCCTACTGTGAAATAGTTTTTGTGCTATCTATCTGCCCATGGTGAAAAAGTCATCAAACTATTCACCTGCAGCATTCTGTTTCCCTCGCTTTTCATCTCGGAAAACTTCTGGTTTTATACGGATTGTGACGCGATATATTATGACGTAACAAAAGTTAAGTCAGCATCGGTATAATATGGAATATCATAATTGTGTGTACCTTGACTCCCAAAAGTTAACAAAAGTTAAGTCAGCATCGGTATAATAAAACACCTATTTACTGACTATTAGGACAATAGCAAGTTTATCGTTCCTCTCGACAGCAAACTATTTCCCTCGGCTGCGCCGAGGTAAATAGTTTGCTGTCTTGGGGAACGATAAACTTGCTATTGTCCTCATAGCCAGTAAATAGGTGTATAATATCTTCCATGTAAGATGGGGACTATATGTTCATATGTATATTTTCAATCAACAAAAGCTTGATTTTGTCTTACATTCCGATAATTTCCTATTTTTCATATAAAATGCTCTGTGCTTCCATGAATCTGTTTTTCAAACGTATGTGGGATTTTTTTCAGGACATGAAACTAGAGATCCTTAAATTCAGTTATAGCTGGTCAGATGCAGTTGAAGAGGAAGAAAGAAGTATGGAGGTACAGCTATATCTTACTTAAATGTATATCATGGTGAACCTAATTTGAAAAATTAACAGCTGATTTATACTATTTTATTAATATTACTACCGAATAATTCATGGTGATATAAATTGCTAATGGTGATGTAAATTGATAATAAGATGTTTTTTTTTATATAACAGGAGGAGGAAAATCAGCAAAGAGAAATGGAGAAGAAGTTAGAAAAAGAAATTGCACAGGAGAAGAAAGATCGCAACAAAAATCACAACAGGTATTGTACAATATCTGACCCAAATAGCACGATTGTTAAAATTGCTGTTGTTTTGTAATAATAATTTTTCTTGTATGGATGCAACAATTTCATCATTTCTGAATTAAATGCCGACTTTCTTGATTATTGCTACAGAAAAAGAGAAGGGGTCGTAGTTTCCTTTTTTTTTTGGAGGATTAAGTAATTATGTTTTTTCGTGATTTTTCAATGATTGTACAAAATCTTTGATTCTGAAGTATAATCAGACATTTACCCTGTCTTTAATTATCTTTATCAATTTTAATTTGCTCCTTCATTTCAAAATTGGCTACATGGTCTGGAGTTAAAAGTCCCACAGTTTCCTCGGAAAACTTTTTTTTTTGGAGGATATATTAAGTAATTATGACAATGTCTTTTCTTTTTGTAGAATAAAAACCATGGACTACAATGCCATTCTAGACTTTGGGGAGAATCCTGTCACAGATGTGGTAAGCTCATATGTATATTTTTCCATGTAAAACTTATAGATTCTGAATAATAACACAGTCACCCTTTATATCACTGAGAAATATAAATCTATAATATTAGCTAATTTGAAAAATTAAGCTGCATATGTTTATAGCATGTGTAGTTTTTTTTTATATGTCGCAAAGAGAATAATTGAAAGATGGGGCAACAAAAATCACCAAGTACAGCTCATATGTTTTTTCATCAACAAAAGCTTGATTTTGTCTTACATTCTGACAATTTCGTTTTTTACGTGTAAAATGTTCTGTGCTTCCATGATTCCGTTTTTCAAATGTATGGGGTTTTTTTCAGGACACGAAACTAGAGATCCTTAAATTCAATTATAGCTGGTCTGATGCAGTTGAAGAGGCGGAAAGGCACACGGAGGTACAGATATATCTTACTTATATGTATATCATGTTGAACCTAAGTTAATATATTTCAAATATTTTTTTTGATGTTTTATATTATTATTTTTGAAGTAGCATATTTTAGTACAACTACAGTATAATACTGATAATTTGAACATTTCTCTCTCAAAGAATAAGACGCTATACACACTCCAGACTAATGAGTGGTGATATATCCCTTCTGTATTTTATTAGCAGGAACAAAAGCAGCGAAATGAGATGAAGAACTTAGAAAAAGAAATTGGACAGAAAGAAAGGAGAGATAGCTACAAAAATCACAACAGGTATGGTACATTAAGTTATAACTGTCCCAAACACATCATCATAAAAATTTTTATGTTTCAATTTTTCATTGTAATAGCACACTTTATAAAATACATGTATTTGATTTTTTTTTTTTACACAGAAACAAAATGGAAAACAGAAAAACTAAACACTACAAAGCATGGAAGCATGAAAAGGCCCATATGAAAAAAATACCAGAAAATGAAACCGGAGGTAAATATCTTTCAGTTAGATTATTGTATATTTTTTGCATATATTTTGTATATGTAATAATTTCTCAACTAACACTCAAATTTGATTTCAACAATGAATAAAAGAAATTACCTTTAATACAAATCGAACTCATAAAATATCGATTATAAGATAAAAAGCGTTAGTACTATGTATTCCTAACAATATCTCAAGGCTATTTAAATCTTTTCAGGCTTTTGAATCCACCAACAACATGATTGAAAGAGATACAAGAAAAGATTCTGGTGATAAATTAACCAATATTACAGAAATCTCCAAATGTGATACCAAAATTTTAGGAGAGAAGAAGAATGAAGATTCTTCAGGAGTGGGGGCAATTACAATTGATAAAATAGTGTTGGCAGCCAAAGACACTGCTTGCGATGAGGAATTGTCAGAGAAGTCACCAGTTCATGATGCTATGTCAAAGGAAGATATGTCAACAGAGAAGACAACAGTAAATGATGAGGATAAGTCAGCAGAGAAGACGGTAGTAGGTGATGAGGATAAGTCAGAAGAGAAGACAGCAGTACGTGATGAGGACATGATGTCAGCAGAGAACACACCAGTGCGTGATGAGGATTTTTCAGCAGAGAAGACAGCAGTACGTGATGAGGACATGATGTCAGCAGAGAAGACAGCAGTAGGTGATGAGGACATGTCAATAGAGAAGACAGCAGTACGTGATGAGAACATGTCAACAGAGAATACAGCAGTAGGTGATGAGAACATGTCAACAGAGAAGACAGCAGTACGTGATGAGGACATGTCAACAGAGAAGACAGCAGTAGGTGATGAGGATAAGTCAACAGAGAAGACAGCAGTAGGTGATGAGGATAAGTCAGCAGAGAAGACAGCAGTACATGATGAGGATAAGTCAGCAGAGAAGACAGCAGTACGTGATGAGGATAAGTCAGCAGAGAAGACAGCAGTACGTGATGAGGACATGTCAATAGAGAAGACAGCAGTACATGATGAGGACATTTCAATAAAGAAGACAGCAGTACATGATGAGGACATTTCAATAGAGAAGACAGCAGTCGGTGATGAGGATAAGACAGCAGCAGGTGATGCAGATATGTCAGCAGAGAACACACCAGTATATGATGAGGAAAAGTCAGCAGAGAACACACCAGTATATGATGAGGACATGTCAATAGAGAAGACAGCAGTACGTGATGAGGACATGTCAATAGAGAAGACAGCAGTACATGATGAGGACATGTCAATAGAGAAGACAGCAGTACGTGATGAGGACATGTCAAAAGAGAAGACAGCAGTACATGATGAGGACATGTCAATAGAGAAGACAGCAGTACGTGATGAGGACATGTCAGCTGAGAATACAGCAGTACGTGATGAGGATATGTCAATAGAGAAGACAGCAGTATGTGATGAGGACATGTCAGCTGAGAATACAGCAGTACGTGATGAGGATATGTCAATAGAGAAGACAGCAGTATGTGATGAGGACATGTCAACAGAGAAGACAGCAGTACGTGATGAGGATAAGTCAGCAGAGAAGACAGCAGTAGGTGATGAGGATAAGTCAGCAGAGAAGACAGCAGTACATGATGAGGATAAGTCAGCAGAGAAGACAGCAGTACGTGATGAGGATAAGTCAGCAGAGAAGACAGCAGTACGTGATGAGGACATGTCAATAGAGAAGACAGCAGTACATGATGAGGACATTTCAATAGAGAAGACAGCAGTACATGATGAGGACATTTCAATAGAGAAGACAGCAGTCAGTGATGAGGATAAGACAGCAGCAGGTGATGCAGATATGTCAGCAGAGAACACACCAGTATATGATGAGGACATGTCAATAGAGAGACAGCAGACATGATGAGCATGTCAATAGAGAAGACAGCAGTACGTGATGAGGACATGTCAATAGAGAAGACAGCAGTACGTGATGAGGACATGTCAGCTGAGAATACAGCAGTACGTGATGAGGACATGTCAGCTGAGAATACAGCAGTACGTGATGAGGACATGTCAATAGAGAAGACAGCAGTACGTGATGAGGACATGTCAATAGACCATACAGCAGTAGGTGATGAGGACATGTCAATAGAGAAGACAGCAGTACGTGATGAGGACATGTCAACAGAGAAGACAGCAGTACGTGATGACAATAAGTCAGCAGAGAAGACAGCAGTAGGTGATGAGGATAAGTCAGCAGAGAAGAAAGCAGTACATGGTGAGGACATGTCAGCAGATAAGACAGCAGTACGTGATGAGGATATGTCAACAGAGAAGTCAACTGTATGGAATGAATTGACAAGAGAAATGTCAAGTGCGTGTGATCAGAGATTTTTCAAAGAAAAGACAACTGCATTTGATGAAGTTTTGTCTAAGGAGATGTCATCAGTGTGTGTTATTGAGTCATTTGAAAAGACACTGATATTCAATGAAGAATTATCAGAAAAGAAGTTGACTGCATGTGATGAGATATCAGGATATATGTCAACTCCATTTGATAAGGAATTTTCCAAAGAAAATGCAACTAAATTTGAGGAACAGTTGTCAATGATGTTACCGCCATATGGGGAAAAATTGTCAGGAGAGAAGGAAACTGCATGTTATGAAGAGTTGCTGACAAAGAAGGCAGGTGTACATGATGAAAAATTGTCGCAAGAGTTGTCAACATCATGTGATGAGGACTTGTCAGAAGAGAATTCAATTGTAGGTGATGAAAAATTATCAGGAGGAAAGGCAATTGTATTTGATGAAGATTTGTCTGCAGAAACATTAACAGATTGTGATGAGAATTTGCTAGAGGAGAAAGTACCATGTAATTTAGATTTGTCAGGAGAGAGATCCTGTGTGTGTGATGAAAATGTTGTTGTACCAGTCAGCCAAAAACAAGAATTATCTAAGGATCAGGAAAAAACATTGAAGGTAACATAAAATTGAAATACACGTATAAGTGTTCAAACATTCTCATTCAATTAATATTGACCCATTTATATCTTTCAAAGGATATTAGTAATAAGAATAAGATTGTTAATTATAACTACTTCTCTATTTATATTTGCAGCCTTTGATTGAGGATGATTACATCAAACATGATGATGATGATGATGATGATGATGGTTGGTTTGGTCCACGGAAACTGTTCTTTTTCCATATAGATTATTTTAAGGTATAATTAACCGTATTTTAAATTTCTTTTTGATTTGGTTTTCTAATTTATATATAATCTATTCCTAGCCCCTATAGCTTTCTTTTTTTTTTTTAAATATAATATATATTGATTGATTGTATACTGTTTAACATCCCTCTCCAGAATATTTCACTGATATGGAGACGTCACCATTGCCGGTGAAGGGCTGCAAATTTAGGCCTATGCTCGGCACTTAAGGCCTTTGAGCAGGGAGGGATCTTTATCGTGCCACACCTGCTGTGACAAGGGGCCTCGGTTTATACGGTCTAATCCGAAGGACCGCCCCATTTAGTAGCCTTTTACGACAAGCAGGGGGGTACTGAGAATCTATTCTAACCCGGATCCCCTCGGGGCAATATAATATATATAATATATAAATGTGTATACATTGTACTTTAATTTTAAGGCCTCTCCCCAATTTAATAAATCTTATATTTATAACAATTACATGTATATTATTTTCTGTACTTTGTCTGTAGAAATTGAATGATATCAACCTCAAAAAAATTATTATGTTTTTAACTTATCCTACCCTGAAAACAAACCTACCCTGAAAACAAAAATATTTTAGCTATTATCTATACGTATGTACATTATGATATTGAACGTTTTAATGAATAATTATTATGTTAATTAATTAATTTTTTTTTTAATTTGATGTAGGCTGCTGGAAAAGATTTCTGCTAACAAGAAAGAAAAGAAAGACATTTTTTTAGATATAAAAACCCTTGTTTCTAAGGAAAAAATAAAGATTTTTTAGGTCAAAATTCTTTCTGCTTGATTGTATGGTTGAAGTCAATTATTATGCATACAGAGGTCAAAATTCAGGTTTACACTTTTTCTTGGCATGGCGGGTGTGACCGGTCGGTAGGGGATGCTCACTTTTCCATGGCACTTGATCCCATCTCTGATGTTTCAGAGGTCTGTGTTTGCTCTGTTCCTATGCTGTTGTTAGATGGACTTTTGAGCTTGAATACTGTTCATTATCTTGATATATTTCACTTATTACACAAGCATAATATTCTAGCCGTGAGGCCATCTTTAAAGAAAATTGATTGCCTTCTCTCAACTCAGGGTAAATTATTGGGTTGGTAGGTAGAAGGAAAAATCTTTTTTTTCCCAGAAAATTTCAACATATTTGATAAAAGGGTAAGAGAATAAAAAAAATTAATAATATCCTGTCCTGGTATGTAAAAAAAGTACCATATTTAGTCGGTTGGGAGAGGGCAACCATTTTTTAAAGACGGCCCGACATATGATAAAATGTAAAGAGAATATGCATGTGTCGATCTTTTTTTCTCGTCTATGAAAGTCTTCTAAATAAGCATTGGCTCTTGTGCCCATATATTAAACTTAGATTATAAATACCGTATATACTCGCCTATAAGTTGGTCCATCTATAAGTCGGTTGTATTTTTAAGCTTAAGAAAGACTCGGACCTTCTATAATACCAATCTTTTTATATCTCATGCATAAGTCTGGCATAGAGTTTAACTCCCAAGAAGCCGACTTATAGGCAAGTATATACGGTAAATAATTGTCACTTGTATTCTAAACAAGAGGCCCAAGGGCCTTGAACCGCTCTTCTGATAAATTGTACAATCTATCACTTCTATTAGAAGCCTCCAATTCTATTAGTATCATAAGACCCAAAATGCATCAACTTACAAAGTTTGATAATATTTAGCCAGTTAAGACTGAAGATATTATAATATAATTATAAAATACCATAAGAAGGTCACAGTGACCTACCTTTTAATTGAAATTTTCTGAGGACTCAATATACATTAATTGACAAAGACTGATGATTCTAATTAAATAAGGACCTGAGATATTCAAAAGTAGGTCACCATGACCTACTTTTTGGTCAACATTCTCTGAAAACCCAAGATGCATCATCTGACAAAGTTTGATGATTCTAAGCCAATTAGTACCAGAGATAATTAAATATAGCCATCAAATGTCAAAAGTTAGGTCACAGTAACCTACTTTATGGTCGACGTTATTAAAAACCCATAATGCCTAAACTGACAAAATTTGATGATTCTAAGTCAATAAGCACCTGAGATATTTAAAATTAGGTCACCGTGACCTACTTCTTGTTGGACATTCAATGAAACCCTAAGATGCCTCAAATGACAAAGTTTGATAATTCCGAGCCAATAAGTACCAGATATAATTAAATATAGCCATAAAATGTCAAAAGTAGGTCACAGTGACCTACTTTTTGGTCGACGTTCTCTGAAAACCCAAGGTGCCTAAACTGACAAAGTTTGATGATTTTTAAGCTAATACGTACCTGAGATATTCAAAAGTAGGTCACTGTGACCTACATTTTGGTCGACATTCTCCGAAAACCCAAGATGCCTCAATTGACAAAGTTTGATGATTCTTAGCCAATAAGTGCCTGAGATACTTAAATATAGCCATGAAAATGTCAAAAGTAGGTCACTGTGACCTATTCTTTGGTCGAAAACCCATGATGCATCAACTGACAAAGTTTGATGATTTTAGGTCAATAAGTACTACTTAATTATAGTCACAAAATGTCAAAAGTAGGTCACCATGACCTACTTTTTGGTCGTCACTCTCTGAAAACCCAAGATGCATCAACTCACAAAGTTTGATGATTGTAAGCCAATAAGTACCGGAGATACTTCAATAAAGCCATAAAATGTCAAAAGTAGGTCACCATGACCTACTTTTTGGTTGTCACTCTCCGAAAACCAAATATGCATTGACTCACAAAGTTTGATGATTCTAAGTCAATAAATACCAAAGATATGTAAATATAGCCATAAAATGTCGAAAGTAGGTCATCATGACCTACATTTTGGTTGACATTTTTTACAGACCCAAGATACATCTACTGACCAAGTTTGATGATCGTAGGTCTGAAGGTAATCAAAATATGCGTTTTAAACAATTTGAAAACAAATTTCGGCAAAATTCAAAAAGTAGGTCAGTGACCTACTATTTCATAAATATATTTAAGGTCCCAAGATGCATCAATGTACAAGATTTGATGATTCTAAACCTCCCAGTGTCTGAAATAATGGGATTTCATGTTTTTAAAAGGATAAGTCATAAAGTTTAAAAAGTAGGTCATGGTGACCTACTTTTAAGTTGACATTGTTTGAGGACCAAGATGCATCAACTGACAAAGTTTGATGATCATAGGCCTTAAAGTGTTCAAAATATGCCTTCAAATCATTTTAAAAACAAATCCCCACAAAATTTTAAAAAGTAGGTCACCGTGACCTACTTTTGAGTTAACATGAAGTGAAGTTGTAAGATGCATCAACTTACAAGATTTGATGATCCTAGTCCTTATAGTAAGCAAAATATACACGTTTTTATTAATTGTAAATTTAGGTCAACTTTGAAGTGACCTTGAGACCACACCCTTTGCCCCAGGGTAATTCCCCGTGCAAATTTTAATTTTCGACATATCCTCATCCTTGTATGTAAGTTTGGTGAAAATCTGCCTGGTGGTTATGGAGAAGAAGATTTTTTAGCAACCAGTACTTTTGGTTTTGTTTTTCTGATTATCTCCCCTTGTTTAAGGGTCCCAACCCTTTTTTTAGTATAAATGGTAGCCCTTGGGCCAAGGATACCCTGTGACAAATTTGGTACTGATTGGCCAAGGGGTTCTTGAGTTATGGCCAATATTCTAAAAAGTTTACGCACACCGCACAAATGGCCATAGCATTAGCTCTTTGAGCCTTTGGCTCAGAAGAGCTAACAAAAGAAATTGCACTTGCAAAGATATTCTCATGACAAGGTGGATTTGTTCTCATCAAATAATCTGTGCCCTAAATTGTGCAATTGGTCAGTGAATGACTGTAATGCTGTCATTTTATATACAAGGTCAATGACATTTATTTACAAGGTCAATGATAAAATTTACCTAAAATTAACCCCCCAAAAATCCTTAATACTATGTGGTCCATTGAAATATTACATGAGGACAGGTAATTATAATTAATAAAATATGCCAAGTTTAAACCCATTCAACATCCACTGAAGACAGATTTGTGGTTCCTTAATACTAAAATCAGGCCCAGAGACCATAAACTGAGAATAGACTTAAGTCAAATTTTTATTTTTAATATCTTGAGTTTCCCTTATCAATTTTGCTTAAAATTTCGCAATTTTGAATAACATTCAAATTCAAAGATATTTAGAAAATTTTGTTTCATTATCCAAATTATTTCAAAAGTTATACTGGATTGAACTTTTGACTTAATTTTGTGCTCAGTTTATGGTCTTGGTGCCATATATCTTCTGGAGGGAAAAAGTGAAACATTAAGTTTCTGATATTTTAATGCAAGTTCCAAGAAAACAATTTATATATAGTTATCTACATATGATCACAGACCAACAGCTTATTATCAACCAAATAAAAGACAAAAGATAACAAATAGCACACAATACCAACAGACATGACACAAAAGTACTACACATAGCTATTACGCATACCAAATAATAGATTGTATTGCTAATAATAAAACTATCTCAACTTCAGTTTGATATATTGACAAATATTTGAAGATCTTTACAAATTTTCTAATTTCATCAATCAAGAACTTCCATAGTGACACAAATAGTATAAAACAAGAGGCACATGGTCCACATCACTCACCTGAGCAATGTGGATAGAAAATAAGCAGAAATCAGTTTATTATTGAAAAGTTTAAACCCAATAATTGTCCTTACCAATCCTTTAAAGGGAGAGGGTGTGATTTGAACAAACTTGAATCTTCACTAAGGATGCTTGCATATTTCTTTGACAACCTGTGGCTTTTATGATTGCCCTAAACTTAAATTGTGATCCCACCATATACCCCCAGGGGTCATGACTTGAACAAAATTAAATCTACACCACCTGAGAATGCTCCCATATGAACAGGACTTATCATGGCTTTGCTATTCTTGAAAAGAAGAATTTCAAAGATTTTTTCTACATGTTTCTACGTAAAACTTTTGATGTTGTGGCCCTGCCCTACCCCTAGGGGTCATGATTTGAACAAAATTGAATGTCCACTACAGTGTACCTGAGGATGCTTTCATGATAATATGATCAATCATTGCTTTGTTATTCTTGAGAAGATTTTTAAAGAATTTTCCTATACATTTGTATGTAAAACTTTGATCGGCCATTGTGGCCCTGCCCTACCCCCGAGGGTCATGATTTGGACAAACTTGAATCTACACTATCTGAGAATGATTCCTTATAAGTTTCATCTTTCCTGGCCCAGTGGTTCTTGAGAAGATTTTTAAAACATACCTTCAAATTTTCACTATTTCTGAATTATCTCCCCTTGAATATAGGCGTGGCCCTTCATTTGAACAAACTTGAATCCCCTTCACCTAAGGATACTTTGTGCTAAGTTTGGTTGAAATTGGCCCAGTGGTTCTTGAGAAGAAGTCGAAAATGTGAAAAATTTACAACGACAATGACGACGACAGACAACAGACAAATTTTGATCAGAAGAGCTCACTTGAGTCTTCAGCTCAGGTGAGCTAAAAAGGACATATGACCAAAATATTTCTACTTTGAAATATGTTGGTACAGAATGCAAGATACTGATGTTATACTTTAATTTTTTCCTATAGAAGAAATACTAGTCACAACAAATATAAAGGTATACCTAGACAAGAAGCCCATGGGCCTTACAGGTCATCTGAGCATCATGCAACAACTTTACAACGATTGACTTTGGTTCATGTTTTAAACTAGACGCC